GAATAGTCATGGAGAATAAACTACTTTCTCACCATTAAATGTTTTCCCTTCAGTTCAGGGTTGAAGCTCATTGGCAGGGCACTGTGAAGAAGTTTGCTGTGCCACTGCCCCCTGAAACTTATCTATGGACAAATATAGGGCTTCAGTTTCAGCAGTTGCCAAACTGGCACCTTTCAAGAGTGCTAAATTAACAACAAAAACATTAAAACAGCAAGTGTATTGATATTTAAAAACCAGCAACATTTGGACAGGTTTATCGATGTGCTACTGTGGAATCAAAGCTCAATAACATCTCACTTCTTTACTTAGCCCCAGCAAAGGAGGATGTGCTTCATTACTCTTTGGGGGCCTGGTAGCTATTTCAGGATCAATGTCAGGGGTTTAGAATGAAATATAGTATATCCAGCCTTTCTTGCCCATAAGGCTCATACTTATCCTAAGAGAATCATGACAGTAGGAAGACTTAAAAGTTAAATTGAGGGTTGGCTATTCAGAGTTCAGAGGCGGGGAAGGGTAAAAATGTGCTACAATTTTTTTTGACAAAATATTTGTAAGAAGGTCTACAAAACAGATGTACTTCTCAGTTCTGCAAATACTTTTTACTTGGTGTACTGTGTATTATCAGGAGAAGTTCCAATGAGTATGTCTACACTGGCGAATTTAGGACCTTTAATTCACCAACACTGCAACACTACCAGTAAACAATAGTAGATGTGGTATACCAACGTCTTGTCTATACTACAGCCTCTATCACTGCTATCACAAGTGAAGCTGCAACTGTGAAGAGTTACAGGTCCTAAATTTGCCAAGATAAGCTGAAGACTGGATGCTTATTGTAGGAAGTAGAGGAGGGGTGGTAAGAGGACTAGGAGAACACGCAGCAAGTTAAGGCTACTAGACTGGTCAGCCTGAAATTTCTACAGATATTATCAAACCTGAAGGACGGCTGGTAGGAAAGTAAATCTGGAGAGAGGCATAGAGGAATCTGCATGGAGGCTGGAGGTCTGGTATGGAAGAGAGTTTTAGCACTCCTGGGGGAATTCTGTGCCACTGTGCATGTGCAGAATGCATGTCCCGCATGTCCCCCACAGATTTCTTTGCTTCCCTGCAGAAAAATGACTTTCTGACAGGGAAGCAAAGTGAAGCTGCAAGAGCAGTCACATATCCCTCCCTAGCAGTGCAGGTACAGCATTTCAGGCACCCAAAGTAGCCGGCGGAGAGGTAAATCACTGCAGGACTGGGGACACCCCAACCAGTGGTTCCTACCCTGAGCCAGGATCAGCTGCTAGTCCCGGCTGGGCTGGAGGCAGGAGAGGATGGGACTTCCTCTTCTGCTGCAAGGAGTGGCTGGGACTGTGTCAGACCCACCCCCAGAAAACTCCCCCAGCTCCAGGAAGCTCAGCATCCTCCCCTGCTTCCCGCCCACATCCACCCAACCCCCATGCATCCAGACCTCCCATACCCTGACACCCCTACCAAGCCTCACCTGGTAATCCAGAACCCCCTAGCCCTCCATACCTGAATCCCACCCCACTGAACCTCAACCCCTGCATCTGGAGCCCCCCTGCACCGATACCCCCTGCCTCCGGACCCCCATCCCTGCACCCAGACCACCCCCCACTGAGCTCCCTGCACTCAAACCCCCACCCTGATGCTCCACCCCCTGCACCACCCTGAGTCCCCACATCCAGACCCCCATGCCACTGACCCCCAACTAGCTGCACCCAGACCCCCACCCCGCCAGTGCCACTCCCCCAGAACCCAGACCCCCCTCCTGAGACCCCACACCCAGACCCCTCTGCTGAGCCCCAACCACCTTCACCTGGAAGCCCCTGCAGAGTCCCATTGCCTCTGCACCTGGAACCCACCCCCCCAACGAGCCTCTGTGCATCTAGACCCCCACACACACCTAGAACCCCCACTGAGCTGCCTGCACCCAGATTGTCCCATACAGAATCCTCTCGCCCCACATCTGGATTCCTCCACACTGAGCCCTTCCACACTTGGATCCTGCCTGGTTGAGCATGCCTGCCCCACACCTGGTATGCCTGGTGCAGTGGGGCAGGGCCCAGGGTGTTTCTGGGGCAGGACCAGGCCTTGTGCTGTGTCAGGTTCGGGTGCAGCCTGACCACTGAGTCCATGTTCCAGGGATGGGGGCGCTGCAAGGTGATCTCTCACCTTCGTGCAGCCAATGGCCTGTGCTCCCCACTGTCCTGCTGGAGCCTCTGCATTTATTTATTGACAAATAAAACTTGCATAATTTTGCAGAATTTTTAAATATTGTGTACAGAATTTTTAATTTTTTGGCACAGAATTTTTAAATTTTTGGCACAAATTGCCCTCAGGAGTAGATCAGATAGAAATACAAGCTGGGCAAGGCACAGCTCAAATTGTGCAGGAGGGAAATCCCCCAAGCTCCACCCACAACCCAAATTCTGCCCATTTGGGATACCAAAATGAGATGCCACTCACAATAGATTGCACAGGTGTTCAAATCTGATCATACATGTTCTTCTGGGCTCCTCAGGCTTGGCACCCTTCAGTGGGATTTGGATACACCCACTGGATTATTAAGGTACAGGAACAATAGACAAGCATCTAAGGCCCTGGCTCCAAGTGTTATGTGATAATGACAGAATCTCGATGTTCATTACAAGCAAAAGTCTCTAACCTTCATGGTTGTGAAAAAAATCTTAAAAACACGAGCCAAGGTTAATTGATGCAATAATGTGCATCTGAGTCTGCAGACAGCATCCAGCAAAGGCAGCCATTATAGCCAGAGAGGAAGCTGCTTGACCTGACATTCACCATCCATAGCAGACCAAACACCTGCTGATCTAGGGGGACCTGGCCTGGTCAAGGTGAGAATTTGGGGATTGGCTGTCCCTTGGCAGCTCAGAGACACCCCACCCCACCCCACCCCACCCCCGGCTCTGTTCTTCCCTCTGACCTTTAGCTTCACTGGTCAAATTGAGGGGTGGAAAGCGGTGATACTCTCCCAAATGCCTCCCACTTGTGACACCAGAATGGACATCACTCACTGTAAATTGCACAGATCTTCATAATATGATCATCCCTTTCCTTTTTTATGCTGTGATCAGCAGTTAAGTAGTTAACAATTTTGATATTTAAATCATTGTAATTGTACAATATTTGACTCAATACCCCATTGAGATCAATCGAAGTAGTTAAGAAATCAAGACATCTTCCATTGGTTTCTATTTGTGCAGATCTGTTCAGTTATAAGTAATAATGAGAATAACTTTTTTTAATGTAAGTTTCACTGGTTACCTTAGATTTGAGATATAGTGAGATACTCGTGAATGATTGTATTTATAAGTGTCTTGGAGATCTAAATGCTTGTTAGAGAGAGCCAAAAAAGTCCAAAGAGAACAAAATTTCAGGAAGTGTTTATTTTTTTAAAGTTTCAAATGGAAGTTTCTGCCTTTATATGAAATAATCTAGAAAATTCAAGTAGGATGTTAGTCTATGGCCCTGATTTTGCAAAAACTTATACAGAAAGTATATGATTACTAAAGTCAATGGGACTACTAACAGTGCATAACATTAGCTATGTGCCTAAAATCTTTACAGGATAGGGGCCTAAGTGTGTTAAGTATGGAGTCTAAATCTGAGGGCAATGATTAGATATTAGGGTATACAAAATCTCACTTTAGCTACAATCTTGGTGAAACCTTAACTATGAAGTTTTGATTGACAACATCATAATTCACACTACAGACCAGAACAATTACAACCTGTTGTGTAGGCTGTCCGATCTCCATGGTACACCTTTTCCTTATATACTGTTTTTGCATTATAGTTAAAAAATGATTATTCATAGAAAAATGATATCTAGAATGTTTTGACTATGAATCAGTGTGTATAAACTAAACACATACAGTATAGACAGTACTATAGTTTTTCTTTCACTGCTTTCATTGAAAATGAAATTTTTGATACTTTATCAGTTCAAAGGTCATTTTTTTGAAAGTTTGATTTTCACTAATCTTTTAGTAAATTAAGGGTAAAATATATATGTATCTTTACTGCTATGAAGTGATTAATTAATTATTTTTGAACACAATTTAAAATAGCTAAACTTTACAAGATGAAGTTTTTCAGGCAGCTAGTGCTTATTGCGAACTTGTTTCAAAGATAATTTGAGGGAAAGGATATAAAAATTTAAAAATCACTTTTGTAATATATTAATATAACATTTCCACTAATTTGAAGGACAATGTAATAAATTAAACACAGAATATCAATGTATGCAATGTTGTTGTAGTCATGTTGGTCCCAGGATATCAGAGAGACAACTAGGTGAGGTAATATCTTTAATTGGGCCAACTTCTGTTGGTGAAAGAGACAAGCTTTCGAGCTTACACAGAGCTCTTCTTCATGTCTCTCTACATAATGGTAATGTGAGTTATGTGATTATTTATGTGTTATTTTTGCACTGCCATTTCACTGTGAAGTTCCAGAACTGCATCGTTTTGACCATACAGCTCTAGAAGTGTGCAGTGAAATCAATAGAAATATTAGGCCCTCAGCTTACAAACCTTTATACCTGTGAATAGTTTTGCTGAGCTTAATGGACTCACTCACATACATGAAGGGAAAGATTTTCAAAGATTATAAAAGTCAATGGGAGTATGGCACCTAACTCCCATTTGTGCCTTTTTGAAAATCTGCCCCAAAGTTAGGTATGTAAACAAGCGTTTGCAGGATCAGGGCCTTGTTTACTTAATCTTTTTTCTTAAGAAAAGAAAAGAAGTTACATGAAATATCTTACAATAATTTTACATTAAGGTTATAATTTTAGGCCCGGCCCCTGACACTGCAAGCTACTCTGCACTGGTGCAATGGATGGGTTCTGTTCAAGCACAGGGGTCCCTCAGAGGAGATGGTCCTTAAGCAGTTAAAAGCCAAGTGTTGTATAGTGGTTTGAACAGGAGACTAAAAGTCAAGCCTGACTTCTTATCCTTCTGCCTCCACAGCCCTAAGTCACAACCTCCATCTCAGTTTCCACATCTGTAAAATGGGGATAGTGATACACCAAACTAGCAGGTGGGTTACCATGATTAGTCAATGTTTATGAAGTGGCTTGATGATGAAAGAGTCTATATACATTGCTAAGCCTTGTTAAATGCCAAAGCTAACACTTTCAAAGGAAATCTTCATTTGCCAACACTGAAGGTAGGCAGTCTGTCCAGTGGCTAGTTATATACTCTGGGCCCAACGGTGCCCTCAGATGGGCCCACACAGCTGCAGTCCACTTCAGGGAGAGCTGCCTAGCTGCGTCTGGGGCAGAATCGGGCGCTGATGTAAACTGACTTGTGGGAGGTGCTGTGGCCGAGGCAGAATCGGGCCCCGCAGGCTACAGCTGTGCCATGGGGGAGAGTTAGTCTGAGCGCCTCAAACTTCTGCGTGGCCTGACTCGGAGGTGGGGGGTGCGGGGTGGGGGTGAGGGGGGGGGGTCGGGCTGTAACGCGAGCGCTGCACTGGCAATGGGCTTGGGGATGGACTGGGTTATTATCGGGTGCGCTTAAGTTTCTCGATGTTGCTCTCCTCCCCTCCCCCCTTTTCCTCTCTCTGAGTCTCCCTCCCCCTCCCCCCTGTCTCGACCGCCTCCCCCCCTTTACCTTGACAAGTCCATGGGGCTGATGGTGAATGACTGTCTCTCTCCCCAGGGTCTGGGGCTCTGGGTGACATTCCCCCCCCCCCCCCCCCCCCCATGAGTGGCGGTTGGGTTGCTAGTGCGGGCGCGCGCGCTAGCGGGGAGGGGGAGGGGTGCTATTGACAGCAGCGCCGTGTCCGTAGCGCTGCCTCAGCGCGAGCGGCTCTCCCCCTCGCTCCCCCCTCCCATTCCCGGCATGCCCTAGGGCAGCGGGGCTGGCTCTAACGAATTTGAATGAAGAGCCCTGCGCTTTCGGCGCCATTTTCGAGTGATGCCCGATTGCATCGCTGCCGTGGGGGAGCCGGAGCTGGCGGGGCCGCTGGGCTGGGCGCAGACCGCCGCCAAAAATACCCGCGGCCCGAGGAGGCGCCCGCACAGGCGGTAAGAGCCGGAGGGAGCGGCCGCGGGGGGAGGGTGTTGTCCGGTTAACGGGGTCGACCCGTGTCCCGCCTCCGGGAAAAATCCACCCGAAGCCCTGTCGGGGAGCGAGCAGTGGGGATCCCGGCCCCGGAGGCAGCCGTGGGGTGAGCAGGGCGGCGGTCGCGGCGCCCCCTCAGCGTCTCTGTCACTGTCAGTCTCCAGCCTGGGAGGATCGGGGCCCGAAGCGGCCGCCTCTCTCAGGTAGCCCCCGCCCCAGGGCGACTGAAGGGAGCATCTCCCGGGCAGAGACCCTGTCTGCGATAGCGCTCGTGCTCCCCCCCCCCGCCCGCCCGCTCGCTCGCTTTCCGGAGCGACTCAGCCCCAAGCAGAGATGGGCAGGGAAGTTAGAGGCAGGCTGGGGACCCGGAGCACCCCGAGCGGAGGGCGCCTTCCCAGCTCCCGTTGGGCGCCCCTCGGCCGCGGCGTGACATGACAGGCTGTGTTCCCCGTGGCCGTGGGCGTTGCGGGGCACACGGGAGCGGACTCGGGGTACAGCGATTGCCGGTTCCCCTGTTCTGCAGCAGCCAGCAGGGCTCCCCGCTCCCAGCCTCCCTCTTGCCTCCCGGCCCCCCCTCCCCGGGTTTGTAACCTGGATTAGGGCCCCCCGAATAGCCCCTTCGCCCCCCCCCTCCTCCCCCGGCTCCTTTCGATGAAGGCAGGTTGACTCCTCTGTCTCGGAGCTCTCTCAGCCTCGCACTTTTTCAGATCATAATTTCCCGTGTCACGATCTCGAAGCCGTCTTTAGCAGAGACCTGGGTGACGGTTGTGCTGCCGCACGCTATCGCATTTATCATCTCCGGCCCTTTGGCTAATAACGAAGGACCAACGCGCTTTTAATCGTATATTGCCATGGCTAATTGTTTTTAACATTTACACCCTAGTTTCCCGAGCTCAAAGGGAAAACGTAATTTGGGGCCGTTTGAATCGTACCAGTTATTTGTAGATGCTTTTCGCCTTCTCCTCCTCCATCCCCCCAAAATGAGTAAATATCGTCCCCATAGACAGCGTAGCCTAATACTGTGATTAGAAGTGGCCATTCACCATCTCTTCTCCGCCTACTAAATTCTCCGTCTCTGTCACCCGGGTCGCTATTTGTCATTGGCTTAGCTGTTTTTTTGGTGGCTGTTTCTATGTCAGTTCTCGGTGGGCAGCAGTTCTCGGTCTCCCCTAGGTTGTGTGTATTTGTGCTTATGGTGATATGTAATGGGCTCACTCTCGCAGTGTATGTGATGAGCGATTACCCCGTTGCATACACATAATATGTGACACTCTGTGCCTTTTCCTCCACGACGCTATTTAACCCTCTCGGGACTGGTTTTGGCGTGGGCGCTCACTCTTCATAGTTGCGCACACACAAGAAAGACATCTTTTTGTTGCAGCAGTTACTTGGTGGGAGTGAGTGGGGGATAATAATATACAGGGGGCAGATAAGCTAACATACAGCACTGCAAGCTCAGAAACAGGCAGACCATCTGGCTCCTTCCCAGATATAATTTCTAGCGCTACTTTTATTCTTCTGCCTACTTCCCTATTCGCTTTCGGCTGACAGAACCTTTCTCAGATGCAGGAAAACGTATGAATATTTCCCCGAATCCTGCTAGATCTTAGGGCACCACTCTGCTTTCCTTGTGCACCCAGAACTCCCATTGAATCCCTGGGAGTGTTGGGTGCGCAATGAATTCAGGATCGGGCCCTCATTTATGTGCCACTTCAGAAAATACTGGACCGAGTATACGGTCCCCCTGATTGGCTGCATGAACGCATTACTGGGGCTTGAAGGTTGGACTGGGTCATAGGATTTCTCCGCTTCTCTCGCTCTGCCCCCTGCGCGCATCTATCCACTCTGGTTAACGACAGGAGTGTGTGCGTTTTACTTAGCACCCTCTGCTCCGAAAATAATGAGTTAACAGAGTAACGTAGGAGGAGGGACGTACAGAAGAGTTGGGGTGCAGAAGTGCTGTACAAAGGATTTCTATGTACATGGCTGAAGGCTTGTAGCCTTAAAGTGAAATACAAAACTTAGCATGTTAGCTGGATTCAAGGTATTTTCTGTGTAAGGCAGAAATACAATAGTTTAAGAACACATTCTTATTGTGAACCCTGGGGTTTTCTCGGTTTTTAAATCCAGTTTTCAAATCAGACTATTCAGTCTATTTATTCAGCTACAGTTACTCTCAGTTTGTCCCTAGTTTATCATTAAATCCTCATAGCTAGAAATTTAAATTTAATCTGTTCAATTGTGATGCTAATAATACCTTATTACATTTTAGCATTTATTTCTTTGGAGGTATATGATTACTACTTAACTGTTTTAAGAAACATTTTTAATACTTTGTGTGGGAATGTGCACAAAGCTGTTTCTTTGTAGCTGAGTGTATACTTTTTAAAATATCAGTATTTGAACAGATTTACACTATTCAGCAATGGAAGTAAAATTTATAAACACTGACTTTCACTTTCAAGGAAATAACTGTCCTGACTCATAGTTAATTTAGAAAACAGAACAGGTAAGTATTGTACAGGTGCGTATGTTTTATTTCTCTGACATTCAAGTACAAAGCATACATATTATGCTTTGTAATAGTCTTCTATAATTAAAATGTTTGTACTTATTAGATATTTAACTACATCAAACAGTTATTTCTTTTTAGCTTAATTTTTATTTCAGAACTTTACCATTTCCATTTTTATAATGATATAAAAGTGGGTGTGGCTAAAAAGAAAGCAGTAGGCAATCTGATATCATTATACAGTGCACATATATGTAATTTATATAGGTTTCCTGATACTTGATTTACTCATTTGATGTATTTGAGAAATTCACTTAGTTTAAATTGAATCTCATAGGACTGCTTGCATTTTTCACCTTAGTTAAAATGTCAAACATTAACTGAGGTTTACTTGGCCTTAGAAAAGATTAATTTGATATTTCCTCTAAATATATGTGTAGCTGTAATAAACATGTATTTACACTAGACCCATAAATGAAAGTTATAGTTATGTACTTGTGATCCGATTATTGCTTATAATTTTGTCATGAAACATAATTAGTATCCTCTTCATAAATTTGTTTCTATTAAGCCTGTTCAGTTATTTTGGCTCTCAGAAAAACTTTTCAAATAGGTTACAGTTGTCCTGTTAAAAGCTAGAGTTGCACTGAAACTTCCCAAGAGGTACCGGGTGTTTTTGGTTTTGTTTTTCATTTGATTGTTTTTTGCAAGTGTAAATCTACTGAAGATTGAAGAAACTTTTTTTTAATAAATAAAAATTTATTTCCTAGTAATTTTCAATTACGTGGGTAGCTTTTACTGATATTGTGTTGTATTGCATTGGAAATGTATTGTAGCAACATTTTGAGATAGAATGTTTTAGTTAGTTAGATATTAAAGTTAGAATATACCATCTGTCCTTTTTTTTCTTTTTCCTTTTTTTTTTTAGCTTAATGGAATCAAGACTTCTTACTGTTCCATGTGAAATACAAAGCTATAGAGGAAAACTTATTTCTAAACTTAATAGTTTTAATTTCCTTAAGTTAACTGTTACTTTCTGTATCAGAATTTGTAGTTACATATTGCTTGAACTTATACACGGTACCTACCTATAGGTACACTCCTCAGGGAAAATTTATGTTACCCATATTGGATGTCATATGGCTGTTCTAACAGGTGTATCAAAAAAAATTCTGGAGTGTTTAGTGTGTATATATACACACACTTCCTATTTTTATGTACAGAATAGTAATGTAACTGTCCGTTTTTGTAACAACTTACTATTTTTTAATATTTGAGATAGGAAATATTCAACTATATTTAAAAGGAACTGAGAAATTTAAAGTTATAGTCTCTGTATATGCTGGAGGTTTTTGCTTTCTTAGATACAGGGGTTTTTTCCAAAGCCAATTACTAATCATTTCAGTAATTACATTCATTACTCATTTTATCACAAATTGTCAAAGGTAGAGCATCTTAGACTTATTCTGGCTATCTGTGGAAGCTATAGGGAATAAAATTCAGGGTTTTATGTCCAAATTGAAATGAATATTTGATAGTAAAATTTTTAAAAACAGAAAATCGCTTATTTTTAAAGTATATAAATATATTTTGGATATATTCTCTATGCATATATTTGCAAGTTCTTTATAGCCAATAATCTTGCGCTAGAACCAGTGGTCAGGAAAAATACTACCTTTCCTATTAACAATATTAATTTTTTGTTTGGACCAAGCTGTACAAAATCACTTTATATTTTATACACAGTATATTACATTTCTGTGATTCTTTACACACTACTTCAGTTTAGAAGTAAGTTGTTTAAGTTTTGACTCAGCTAGTAATACGTTTTTAAGATAGATATAATAGTAAAGTATCTACAAATATTGAGGGAAAGGTGAGACAAATAACAGGGATATGAAAGTTGTCTAAATTTAAACCTAAATGAAAAAGTCGGTTTGCAATTTTATTTATTTTGTGAATTATTGGCACTTGCTCTATAGAATTGCTGAATAGTCACTGTTTTAGTACCAATCAAACTTGAACTTCTTTTCTTTAACACTATGTTATCATGAAAATATTTTCATAATTTTGTGTGGTACACTATATTTCTGAGATGGTAAGAATTGGCTTAGTTTAAACGTTCTGTCTTTGTTTTAATATAACTTAAATCAATGCCTGTATTGATTTGTTTAACCCTTTATTGTAATTTTTTTTTAAAAAAAAGTCTAATTCTGCTAAAAGAAACATTTGGGTAGGTCTATACCTTAGAGATTTAATGAGTCCATAATTCTGAGAAATTAATTTAGTTCTCAGCTTCATTTATTTTTGTATGACAACTTCCATCAGTCTTGCATGAAGATTGAAGGTGGATAATGTAACTTCACTTCTAATTCAGTTATGTTGTAAGTTTGACTGTTTTTTAATTGACTAGTATTTGTGTCTAATTGGAGTTCACTGTAGTTGTACCTTTAAAAGCTAGTTTCTATTTGTGGAAAGTAATAGACTTCAAAATCTTTCTTTAATTCTGAAAAGTCTTTTAAAAATTTTAGCAGTTCAGAATATCTAGAGTACAAGTATGTCCCCATTTATTATTGTGTATACACACAAATGTTGTATAAATATAAGTATATAGCTTTTACTAAACACTAAAGCATTTCCAAAGAAGACTTATTCAAAATCAAGATATAATCTCCATTTTACCTGAAACTGAAAAAAATAGCAATGCTTTTCAGTGGTCTTTATTAATGTCTAAAGGAACCCACTACTGAAAGTGGCAAAAATATATATATTCAGCTATTTAGTTTCTAAAGGCTCGTCAGTGTACCCACTGTAAATATAGATTATTAATAACTTTGAGAATTGAGTCAAAAATTGAGTCAAAAACACTAATGTGTTTATCTAGTAAGAAATGTCCAGTTGGGTTAAGATTTGGACTTAGAAAAATATCTTGATCATGATTTTAAATTTCTTTTGTGATAATAGGAATATGTTTAGCTTCAAACTTAACATTTAACATATTAAAAGATTATATTACTATAATTTTTTTTAGAAAAAAATCAACAAAAGAAATATTTTATTGGCTGGATATTTTTTCCAAATTATTTGTGCTTGAAGGGTAGGAGTAGAGAAGATGTACTGGGGAAGAGGGAATAAAGGTAAAAAAAAATACATTTTTACAATAAGAGGAAGTTAACCTTATTTAAGATACTACCATTTTCTTTAATAAAACTTGAAAATAAAGTTAAGGAGTAAAGAGCAAATATATTGAAAATATTTGTAAACAGGTGACCAGATGTAATCATCTGCTGCTTGTTTAATAGACATAGTCAGGATGTACCTTGTTGTAGCACCTATAGTACAAAAGCTAAAGAAATCTGAGAATTTGGCTATATTATTTCACTGTTTCTTCCTGTAAATATTTGAAGTGACCATCTTTATCAGGTTTTTGCCTTGTTTTTAATCCAACAAATTCCATGGTCAGATTTCCATCCCCCCTTCATCTCCCCCAAAATGTGTGTGACTGCAATACTATACAATTCCATTAGATGTTATAGAGTAACTTATTGTGTTTATACAATTCCTCCTTGTTAAAAATGTTGATTGTACTGCTGGTGTCTTGAAAAAAGTTGGCTAAAAACTGTTTTAAAGAAAGCAGTACATGCTAAACACTACTTGATAAAAGTCAGTAGCGGATTTCAGGAAGTATCACAGCGCACACGTTAATTGTTAAATGTTTATAGTTAACTGTTTAATTCTTTTTCTCCCCTCCCACTCATTCTCCCCCTTACTTCCCACAAGAATACATTATAGGGAGAATGAAAGCAGAAACATACTAATCTGATTTGTTTCAGGAGGCTACTGATAATAAAGAAGCATATCACAGGTGTTCCTAATCAAGTCAGTTTGGCTGGTTTTTTTTTTTTAGGTGTTTTTAAAATTAGGGTTTTCCTTAACATGGACAAAGTGAGGGTCAACTTGATGACCTACATCTATGTTTGGGGATCAACCATGAAACTGTGGGTGTCGGAAATATGTTATAATACATGACATTTTTATTGCAGGTTTTGACCTTTCAATGGAGAACTGATTCTGGAGAACAACTTACTTCTGTGATTGAAAAATTCTCTCTGGAAAGCTGATGGAGCATGAGAATGGTATATATCATATTAACATTTCACATATTTCAGATGCTCTTTATTTTTAAAAATGCGTGTAGTAATAGGACTTCTTTGGTTTATACATAGTGAGACTGTTATACTGGGTTAAAGATTTTCTGTTTGCTGAAGTTATTCTTCTTCACATTCGCTCTGTTAAGTTTTAAGACTAAATAAAAAAACAGTCTCCATTTCCCTCTGAAGACAGTCTGTGTGTTAAGTGGCCAAAATATGTACAAAAAGCTGAGCTTGCAACAGCCTTGCTTATTGGAGTTACATAAATTCTCCATATAGTGTTGTCCTCATATTCTTGTATTGGGAATTATTACTGCTAATGCAAAATAATAATAGTAATGGATAATACAATAGTTATTTTTAAGTAATTTTATTCTGTTGTCAATAGTGTGTGTGAAAGAGAAGAATGGAGACCTATCTGAGTGCATTTAAATGTACTGTACAAAGTTATTTTTTAAAGTTATTAATAACTAGCCACTTCTCAATTAAAGCAGTATAGAATTTGCAAAACTGGTTTTCAAACCCCACCTATATAAAGAGTTATCAGAAATTTAATTTATCTTGCAGCCTATCAATAAATATTTAAGTATTATACAGTAAAACAATGAATAATATAAAAATAATATACATAGAATATACAATACTCATCTTGCAAGTCCTGCTTTGCACTAAGTGGTAATTTGGTTGAAACTGAGAAATCCACTCAAAGTAATCAAGACCTCTCTACTTGTATATGAATAATCTCAGCTAACCATTAAAATAAACAACAGAAATTTAAAAAGTAATTGCACTAAGATCAAACAAATTTATATTTAAACATTAAACAGAGTACTAGAAATTTTAAGACTTTATCTCTGTCATAAAATGCATTGTGGCAAAAACTAATTTTATGAACATATTGTGTGTGACGTTAGCAATTTTAGTATTCAGCTGGTATAGAGCTTTTAGCCTTAATCAAATCTTACTGCCTTTTTAAATGTGTATATATCTTTGCAGAAAATAATTGTATCAAAATGTAAGATATAAACTTTTCTTTTAAAAGCTGCAATAAGCCCAAACAATTGCTGACTGTACCTGAAAAAGCTCTAGCACATCCATAGATGTGTAAAATGTATTTATCCTTACTTCAGTAGCTAATTTCAAATCTGGTTGAAGGATTGCAAGTGGTCAGCAATAATACACCTTTTATTGTAACAGTATTTTAGGAAATATTTTTTTCTTAAAGAATGTATGGGAAATATTCTACATAGTATGACAATTTCGTAGGTACTGAAAGCCTTCTAGATAAAATTAACATCTGAAAACCAAAACTTTGAGTACACACAAAATATAAAATGTAAATAAATTTGGACTAGAGCATGACTTTATATTTTGATAAACCTTACATCTTGCCTTTATTTTATTGTAAATAGGTAGTGAATTTTTTTAATCTCTATTAGAATAAAATAAACCCCCCCAAATTTACTATTTTATTGGGATTGTTGTTAATACTCCTGTTTGGGATAATTTGCATAACATGCAAAGTTTTTAAACTTCAGAAGCTGTTCAGAACCTCTGATTTTGATTCAGTGGGTACTATTCAGTTATGAATAATTTGAGTTTCCAGTTCTCTAAGAATATAAGGACTTTGCATTCATTTTAATAATTTTGTTTGTGCTCATATTTTTCTGTGCAAAAGCTATTACAATATTGTTAATGAAAATCAGAATTATATTGGTAGGCAAATGTATCTAAAATTCCCTTGTTACAAATTTAAAAGGTGAAAATTTGTTGAGGTATTCTTCAGTCTGAGTAATGTTAAGGGTATTTCTAATGTAATATTTTGAAGGAAAGTATACTGTCTAGATTTTAACTACAAGTCTAAAGGATTATTGTAAATTTAGGGCCTAATGCTGCAAACTCTCAGACACACAAATAGTGCTAAAGACTGCAATGAGTAAAAATTTGCAGGATCATGGCCTTAGTTGTTGCAATCCTTTTGTTTTTTAATATTTGTTCAAAATATTTGATTGCCTTAAACTGATAGTTTTGGGATTTAGTAATATTTTGGGGGACTTGCCTCAAAATGAGGAATTAAAATGTGTACCAACACACTTACTCAGAAAGCTTATTAACTTACAAGCTCAAATATCACACAGGAGTGCTACTGTAAAGAAAGTTGTCAATTTTCATTATAAAATCCACTTTTCAGCTCTTGATTTGTTCTAGAAATTTTCCATACTGAAACTTGGTCTATATAATTTACAGCCCAAAAGAGAGTATAGTGACTGTCTAGAGGGATGTAAGGTGTGTTTTTTCTCACACTTAAGTTTGACTGCTGCAATCCTTACTTAGGCAACACTCCTGTTGACTGCATTGGGAGTTTTGCCTGAATAAGGACTGCAGTGTTGGGGCCTTTAAAAACAATTGGTGTGAGCATTTAAACATTACAATTTATATTTAACTTTTTTAATTAGTCTTAATTATCTAACAGTAATTGAAGGTGAAAGGAATAAAAATGCACAAGATTTACTTTTTTACAAACCTACATATGTGTAACATTTTGTGATCATTTTTATTATTCCTCCTGTAGGTGTGTACACAAAACTATACAGACATGTTGACTAAATAATAGTTTTGAGAGCTGACAACACATGCTCATATAATAGATCATAACTCCTTAAAAGATTACTATGTCAATTCTCCTATGCTTTCTTTATCATCTTCTCTTGCTTTTCTAAGTCAATCGAAATGGATAGCTGCATATCTACTTCATGCAAATTATTTAACTTGTGTCTAGTTATTACAACACATGTAAAATCACCCATTGTCTGAAAACTCTATGATATCTTAGGCAAGGCCATTTAAAATTTTGGAATCCTTCATAACTGCATTTCCTGACTTTTGTTGATTTAAACTAAATCCAGCCTTAACATAAAAAAGCCTGCATTAAAATGTTATCAGAGTTAAATAAGCATTTCACTTTTATTCTACCAGTCATTTAGTAAGACATCTGTGTAACAAGGATTTGAGACTGGTCCACTTAATTTTTCCTTACCTATGGATAATTGTTTTCATGAGACCTAATTTTTAAGAAGCAACAAACTACGTACAGATAATCTTTAGCAATAATGATTAAAACTAAATGATATTTAAATATATTTTCTTTTACCCAAAAACATGTGCCTAGATGTGGATGGGGGGATTTTTTATTTATTTATTTACCATTTGAACAAAAAGTTTGTTAGAAGTGCCTCCAAATCAATAAATTAAAACTGCATTTTAGGTTTTCTATAATCATAAAAAGAAAAGGAGTACTTGTGGCACCTTAGAGACTAACAAATTTATTTGAGCATAAGCTTTCGTGAGCGATGAAGTGAGCTGTAGCTCACAAAAGCTTATGCTCAAATAAATTTGTTAGTCTCTAAGGTGCCACAAGTACTCCTTTTCTTTTTGCGAATACAGACTAACACGGCTGCTACTCTGAAACCTGTCTATAATCATAGTTCACTTACTCAACTGTTCACCCTACTGCACTAATTTTTTATTTAATCTACCTTGTTTTGAGTTGACTATCTTGTCAAGTGTTCATATAATAATTTGGAGGGGAAGCAGTATATTTGGAGGTGTGGTTGCTGATTGACTGATCTATTTAATGTCTTAGTAATCCTCTATTAGCAAACATACTAACTTCTGAGTTTATTTGAATTAATAGTTGAGTATTCACTGCAAGCATTTTCTGAAGTGAAAAATCTGAATAACTTACATATTCTCTGGGTGTATTTCTCTGGTGTATTTCTTTAATATTTTTATGGCAATATTTTATGAGAAAATTATTTCACAACTAAAGTATTGTAAGAGGGGAATGTCTCATTCTCTCGGGTATGCTATTTTTAAAAAATAAGAGACTCAACTTTTCTGTGAAATGCAATTTAACATTTAGTCATATGTAAAATATTTACACCATTGCCTTAATACCTTAACCTTTGAGTTTGCCTTTATTTCTTTATGGTAGTAAATGCTTTGTTTTCAAATCTTCAAAACAAAGTCTTCTTGCTTCACCCTGCCACTCACACCAATCCCACTTTTTTATTAAATATTGTTTTGCTTAGGGGGAAATGACTGGGTCTAAATAATGATAATTAACATTAATTTAAAGAGATTTTCTGTGAAAATAGTGTTATACTCAGCATTTTGTGGTCTTTACATCTTTATTTAATTGTTTTTATTTTCTATTTTAAAAAATGCATAGAGCTTGCATTTAATACTTCATAATATATCTAAAATGGGTTAAATTATCCCCTATGTGGGGGAAATTTGCAGTAGGATGGGAAATCCTAGGTTATGATTTGGAACTTGTGCTGGTCACCTTCTGGGGCAAAATTGGCCATTGGTAGATTGGGCAGGGGGTGTGATCTCCAGGCTGTTAGCACAAAGAGAGTAGCACAGCACTCCCAAGCACCCATAAATGTAAGCTACCCCAAACATCTGCCAGGAGTGGGGGATTAGAAGAAGGCCTGCTGTCCCTCATGGCACCATTTCTTCCTGATAGGAACCCTCACCTGTAATTGGCTCAAAATACACATGTAGAGAATTCACATCGTAAAAGAGGGTTCTTTGCAACTTAATGTTTACTCTGTTAGTATTATCTTGTACGGGCGAAACCCTGATGAACAGAAAGATTCTCCACCATCTCCTATTTTTCACCAGTATTTGTGCAGATCCTCTCCATGAGCCCATCCTAACAGATGTTTTGGCCCAAAGGTGGGAAGAATATTAATTAGGAGACATCATCTTTGGTCACACAGCTGCTTTTTAAACAAAGGGCCACTTTCTGATCTTCATTATATATGCATATATCTCAATTTAATGTGGATTGTATGCAAGGATTATTAAATATATGTTCTCCCTACTTCAGTTAGTAAAACTGTAGATTTGATTAAAAAATGGAATTTAAATCTTTGCTCACTTCAATAGTGCATACAAATATAATCTGAAATATGACCACAGGGAAATGCCTATTCTTTCTCAGTATCATAGTAAGGTTTAAAATCTGGGTCTTAGTTTGCGAGAGTGCTTGTTTTGCATCTAGTTTATAAGTTGGAGAATTTTGAACTATCAGTCAGAGAATAATTTCTTCTAGAGCATTAGGTTTCAAAAGAGTTCTGTATGTCTTTAAAGCAGTAACTTTCCCTAGATTTGTAATTAAGGTCTTGATGTCAGCTATAACCTTGCAATCATAGTGACTTGGCTATCAGTATTTTATATTTATATCTAAAATTGATACCTTTGCTAACTCACCATAAGAAATGTATGCCAATGCTAAATACTTGATTTAACAAGTACAAGAACCTTCATAATAAATATTTTCCTTGAAAAAATTCCTGTTTGGAAAATGGAATCATCCTTTGTATTTTTCATGTGCAGAATTCAGTTTGTCGATCCCATTGAGGTTTCTGTGATGAAAATGTGACAACAAAACATTATGAATATTTTTCATGTCTAAATTTTTAGACTACAAAATAACTTTGCTTTAACCTATGTGGGTGACCCATTTTCTGTTCTGTAGGAAACTGTACCAAACTAGTCACTAAGGCCTTGATTCAGCACACCCTCCCTATTCAGCAAAACACTTCAGCACATGTTTGACTGCTTTGCTGAATAGAGATGGAGTTAAGAAAGTTCTTATACTTTGTTAAATTGGTGTTCACCCACCATGATAAACATAATGTGTTTTCAATGTGCTTTTTTGGTCTGGTTTTTGTCCCTGCACAATGCCCTTCAAATAGCTTCAGAAAGACCTAGATTTTGAGATGGCAAGGTGCCAGCACAGAGAGACTTAAATTTAATGCTTTTATTTATTTTATTTTATTTTATTTTGCGGCTTAAATTTTGAGGAAAACCGAGCATGAGGAGAATAAGCATATTTTGAATGAACAGAAATCCATCAGTAGCCTAGAATCAACTGTTTGCCTCATTCTAACTTATTTCAAGTAGTTAAACTTAGTAGGAGACTCCTTGCAAAATATCAAATTATGTCAATTAGTAAGTACGGTCAAATAGCTATAAAAATCAAGGATAACACACATAAGATGCATTTTGTATATATTCATAACGATAACTTACCACAAAAATAAGGTAGTACTAATGTGCTTGAAAATGTAACTACATCAATTTATGTAAAAATGAAGGTATAGCAACATGAGCCTTCACTACTACTGTTTGATATTAAATCTTTAAGAAGTGGAGAGAGACCACTAGTTTACTTTTTCTATGTATGTTCTACTATTTTACTACATAATCAGTTGTTCCATAATTTGCTTAGAGGATGGTGTATTTTCTGTGGTAGTTATAATGTTCATTATAGAATATCCTTACATACTTTACAATTCTTTTAAATACTTTCATTTATGCATTCTGTATGTAGTTTAATAAATCTCTCTAAAATACTCCCTTTTAAGTACCATTTTATTTAAAGGTCATCTGCAAATGTAATAATCTTCTAAAAATCAAGTCAATGACTCAAATAGAGTGGAATATATTTGATATGTTGTTATGGTAAAATGTATGTCTATCGTCTGCAACAGTGCTGGAGCCTTCAGAATAGAGATTGGATTGTCACTTAGAATAAAATCCACAACAACTAATCTTCATGAACCTGCAAAAGAAGAAAACAAAAATTTTGACTTGTTAATGTGCAAATTGTCCCGGTTACATTTTTTTTTTCTTTGTCATTTAGCCCCTTCTAAAGTAGTTAGATTTTCTGTTTCCAGGTGTCATCTCTCAGATCATATAATGTCCATATTGGTCTGATTTATTTTCCATCAGTATTGACTGATAGGTTAGGCCCCAATCTTGCAAACACATGCAAGCTTAACTTTAAGCATGTGAATATTCCCACTGAAGCCAGTTAGACTATTCATATGCTTAAAGTTAAACATGTGGGTAAGTGTTTGCAGTATCAGATTCTTTCTTTCTTTATTTATTTATTTTACAGATAGGCCTGCAAGAAACCTAGAATGGAAAGAACAAGCATTTTCATGCCACCTGGTTCAGACTGACTCCTCCCCTTCCTTTTGCTACCAGTTTGATTCCTACTTCTGAATCAAGCAGTCAGATGTAGAAAGTTCAATCAAAAGTTCTTAAGCTTATTTTTAGGGTTTTATTTGTTGTATATTTTCTTAGGAAATCTAAGAACACAGAACAAAACGAGGAGAAGAAGTGTGCAATAATACTCTACAGATGCAAGGTAAAGGATTGTTCTGTCTGTGAACAGGTGGCTTCATGTGGCACACAGGGGGAGAGATTCTCTTGGCAGTGTCTTCCCAGGCTCTGACAAAAAAGATGACACCTATGATTCAGAATTAGAAGGGGAAATCTGCCAGTTAGCATACGCTCCTTAATTTATGGATGTTCCTTAACGTGTGGGTTTCTCTTCACCACAAAGGATCTGGTATATCCATGCCAGTAATTCCTGGAAGATAGTGAAGAACAGTCATCTCCTTCTGAAAGAATTTGGGGTGCCTTACAATTTATTATTCATATTACAAGAAAAACCCATATAATGTAAAATTCTTACCACTTAATCTAAATCTAGGAAGAAAGGACAATTTGAATTGTCTTAAATACTGCATCTAAACTTTAAAACAGGGAGCAGCTTTCTAAACAGTTTGACACAGAATAGGCTCAAAAGAATCTATTTCCATTTGAAAGCACTAGAAATCTGTTTTGAAAGCTTTGGAGATGTACAGTGCTTTTAAGAGTTACACAAAAGCTTATGCTCAAATAAATTTGTTAGTCTCTAAGGTGCCACAAGTACTCCTTTTCTTTTTACTGTTGTAAGATAAGTTCTATAATTTTATCTAACATCTGAATCCTAGTTCCGGGGCCTTTAAGTTGACTTCATCATTTCAGTCATACACTGACTGAAAGTGGACTTCCTGCTAAGGCAGAATACATTTATTTCTGGAATTTTGTTTTTGAATATTGTTTACTAAATAATGACTTTTTGAACTGTTAAAGTAAATTGCAAATATTTGGTTTAGCTCTACAATTCCCTTGAGGTAGATAAGTGCTAGCCCCATCTTTCATATGTGAAAAAGTGATTGTCTCTCCTTCTCCACCTCCTTTACCCTTCTGGAGTAAGAAAGATAATCCAGAATTTAGTGATGACTCCAAAAATGACTCCATATCCTCAGGGGAAAATGCTTCCAAAGGAGAAGACTGCCATTTACTTAAATGAATGAGTGTCATGTACTGTTAAATACTTTTATTTAAAAAAAAAATCAGCTGTTAATTGTCAAGAAGAAGATTCATGACCATTCTGATATTCAGGATTGTGAATATTTACTAGACAATGTTTGGCAGAACTGAGAGTAGAATTTAGATCCTCCTGACGTCTAGTCCTGTGCTTTAGCTATTAGATCATACTTCCTTTCCTTAATTTTTTTGGTATTCTGATTAATCGTTGAAGGTTTTACTTATAGTACTGAATATTGAGCCTAATGCAGAGCATCAGGAGGCACTTAGCATTCTTGTGCTCTTTGCAGAGTAGAAGGAGTGATGAAGTTCCTTTAATTTGATAAATCTACTAAGAAAATTGTAGACTTTGCCTGGATGACTAGCTTCAAAAGTGACCTTCACTAATAATAATAGCAATCAATACTGTCTGCCTCAGAATACACAGGAGTAATGGGTAACTAACTGCTCCTAGAACTGAGCTCATGGCTATTTCATGAACAAAATGTTCATATATACACATTTTAGAATGTAATCTTTCCCACACACATTCAACTGCAAAATAAAAGGGTCTGGAATCAGAAGTAGTTCAGATAGGATTATTTCTGTATCTCCACAGCCAACATTGAATGGATTACAGAAATCCAAAATGGATTAAGAGTCTGCCTCCCATGGAACATCTGAAACTTCTGTCCAAGTGTCAAATTAAGGGCACTATAATAATGCAGTAATATTATGTCAGGGTGACAGCAAATATAAGGGGTTCCTCTACTCTTGACTAGAGGGCTTCCTTGTCTGTGCACTGGATCAGTGATCCTTTAGATACAAATAATGGATGACCTTTCCCTTAAAGCCTTTTGTCCTCCTGAACACTTATGAAAATTGTGACAGTAGTGGCATCAGGTCATAGAAGAAAAGATAGCATATTATCTCTGTTCTAGGTGGCTATCTTCTTTCAGGACACACAAAGAGAAATACATAGGGTAAAAACATTGTTCTAGGGGCTGGGAGTTAACAAGAGACCAACCAGTTCTTTTGTGCTTTCTGGTTCTCACTTCATGGTATTTTCTCTGATTCTAGAATCCTTGAAGACACACTCAGCTGTGAGGACCAAGTTTTCTAGGATTCATTGTTCTGTGCTAAAGTCCAATTTTTGGCTTTTCACCCAATTGTATATCAGACCTATGCAGCATTAGACTACAAAATGACAATTTGAAGAGGCTTATGCTTCCATACAGTAAAAACATAATGGCTTTAGCATAATGGTAATATAATGGTTGAAAAAGTAGCATACCCTGAAAGATTACTTGCTGCAAGATTTTGACTTGATGCAGACAACATACCAATCTGACTAGGTGGAGTGCTTGCAAATCAGTGGAAATGGCCAAGAACGAAGCAAATTAGAAGGACAGTCAGATTAATCTTGGTTATCTTACTTCCCAGCTTCCAGGCAGTGCTGTGGTGTTGTAGGCCCTATGATGCTAAATGCACACAAAGCAGGGTGTTATGAGTTTTTCATTGGTTCAAAAAGCTATGAGTTTTTCATTGGGTCAAAAAGCCTTCACTCAGGGTTTTGCATTTAGATTCATAGACTATCAGAGTTGGAAGGGACCTCAGGAGGTCATCTAGTCCAACCCCCTGCTCAAAGCAGGACCAATCCCCAAATTTTTTTGCCCCAGATCCCTATATGGCCCCCTCAAGGATTGAACTCACAACCCTGGGTTTAGCAGGCCAATGCTCAAACCACTGAGCTATCCCTCCCCTCCCCAAGTATTAAAAGGCACAATGTGAACATTGTAGAACAGTTCAGAGGGATGTTAAAGTAATTTACTGGATTTAATCTTTACACAGAGAAGAGTTCTTCCATTGACCTAGCTGTTGCCTCTTGGAGAGTTGGATTTACTACAGTGGCACAGCTGCAGTGCTGTAGCATTTCTAGAGCGGACATACCCCAACACTTTAACTTCCACTGGCTTGCCCCTCTAAATTGAAAAACAGACCACCTCTTTAAATGAGTGGCTTCAAGGGCATCTCTGGCAACATGATTTTATTAGTCATACTTCCAAAGGATGGGGTCATCAGAGGTATGGGCCTTTGTGTGGACACCTCTGACTTCCAGCAGATCTCAGAGACTTGAAGATTCTGGGGCCTACACCTCTGGGCCTACACCTCTTGCAGGGTGTGATGCACTCTTCTACCTCAACTCTCCCCACTCAAAAAAAATTCCAAGGAAAAATCATAAGTAGAAAAATGGAAGCTTCCTGTTCTTTCACAGTTGATGATGTCACCCTATGTTGGAAAGATTTTACACTTACCAGTTCTCAGCCTAAAAATTGCTTTTAGAAAATGTCGTATAGAAAGGTTCTGCGAAGAGTGTAGTGTGACTTTAGAGTTGAGTAAATACCTAACATAGCAAAAACCTTCCAAAGCCTAAAAACAAGGCAATTACATTGAATTTGGCCAGTACCTGATCATTAGTAAGAAATGTGTTTCCAAAGGAATTAAATGTTGGCAGTATTTAGCTATTTTGAATATTTCTTTTGATCTTTTAAATAAATTGGTAGCCAATGGGCATGAGTTTATTTGGTTTAGTGGAGAACCCCTTTGCCACCTTTGACCAGGTAGGTTTAAGTAAATTTATTTTATGAGTGGTTCATTCCCTGATCTGCACCAACACTGTAACTCTTGGAGTGAAGGCTTTCTATTTCCCCTCCCTTTCCTTCCTCAGTGTATGATTAGCTCAATATCTTCAGGTAGAAATTTTCTACCCTGGCACACTATTGCAGTTAGGTGCATTTTGGTTTCATTTTCACAGAGAGACTGTGTAGTCAGACCTCCTGTATAATCCAGCATTAGTCACTGTAATGGGATAACTGAGTAGATGCACCATTGGTCTTCATCAGGGTAACAAGTTTTAAGACACCATTGTTAAACACCAGAAAATAATGGAAACAGTGACAGGCCTTAGAATCAATCTACTATTAGGAGGGCTTTGCTGGTTTATACCAGTATAGGTAAACTGGCAAAACCTTCCTAGTAAAGATGCAGTTATATCTTTATACTTGTGCCAGTTTCCTGATTAGTATAAGCACTTATATACAGATATATGTGCCTATACTAGAGCTTTTACCAGTATAGCTGTATTGGCAAAAAAAAAAAAAAAAAAAATCACACTCCTAACTAACATAGCTATGCCAGCAAAGCTTTCTAGTGTAGACCTGCCCTGATGCTCCTAGGAGGCAAGTGGGTAAGGGAAAATGACACGTGCACAAATATTTTCTGTAAATAAAATGGAAGAATTTGTCTGCACTATGTCTCCTTTGCCAGTGGTTCTGTTCCATGTGAGGCATGTTTTTTCTTCCCAGCCCTCAGTTTGCAGTCATGGACCATTCCATCTCAAACTACCGAAGGCCAGGTCTACATCAGAAACTTTCACTAGTAGAGTAACGTTAATTAGGGGTGTGTATGTTTTGACACTTCTATACCAGCAAAAGCCCTAGTATAGAAGCAACAAGTGCTATTGCCAGTATAGCTTATTTTATTTGGGGAACTGGTATTAATATATCAGTGAAAATACTTTGCCAGTATAAGCAGTGTCTAGAGACTCTAGAGTAAGAGAGTTTTTTTTCTACACCTTGTCTAGTGTAGACTAGACCTGAGTGAGAGCCAGCACTCTTATTTACTCTTGTGGGTTTTTCCTAAAGGGGTTGGGCTGCTTAAACTACCCCCATCGCCATGCCCAAGACTATCTCTTGTAAATGCTAAGGTGGTATCCCTTTTGAGATATGAACTACAGTTTCTTGTTCACCTCTTCAAACTGACAGTTGTACTTAACCTTGATTTTAACTTCTGGTATTGTAAAAGGTGACCCTGAAATTATAGCAATATCAAAAAGATTTCCATTCAAGGGAAAGAAGAAACATAAGTTTTGGGATTTTTTTTTAAATGTTCTTTTAATGTGAAGATGAACTGAAGTTTTCACATTAGAGAGATCAGACTTAACTTCTAATCAGAGAACTATCCGCACCATTTAATTAGCCTGACAAGGATCTGAAATTTGGACCATAAAGTTATTGTGTGCTAACTTGACAGGAACAAAGTCTAAAGCTGACCTTAATTGTAAGTAGAATATTGGTCCACTACTAAAAGTAGATGTTAATGAAGGATTTGTAATGTATTAAAATAGCTAATGTCAATTCTGTAAAATTAATGTTAAACAAGAAAATATGAGGTTTGACTTACAGCTTATGCTTTCATTCCTTTGACGTTTTGTAGACACCTTGGGCTAACGTAGCAGCACATAATGGTTTGTGGGTTTTGAAAAGGTGCAGGCCATATTGTGCTGCCTCAAAAATACAAGGATTTCATCCTCCTGAAGAGAAATGTCACTTATGAATTAACACGATCCTGATGTCAGCAGTACATTAGCAGCACGTAAATATTGGCGTTAACTCTGTAAATATCTCCAGTATTAACTGTGCTGCTGAAGTAAAGTTGGCCATTCTCTGCAAATGATCCTAAGGAAGTATGTTGATGTTGTCCGACTTATCTCCTGAGTGTGTTAATTTATGTAAAAAAATTAACTTTAATAAATCTTACTGTTTTTGTTCTATAGTTTGATTAGTTCAGTACAGATTTTTAGAACCACATAGAATCTGGCAGTAAATCTAGAACATTTCTTTGAACACTGAATTTATTGTAGGAACTGTCTCAGACTACAGCCTTCTTCATAAACATTTATTAACAATTTGTTCACGTGATTATTGTACAAACTTAAATTAGTTTAAATATCTGCATGACTTTAGTAAAGCTAATGAGATTAAAATTGTTTTGTTTTACTTTCACAGCACTTCCTATACCGATACAAATTTAAAATATATTTTGTCAATTGTTCTACAAGTTCATCAGCTTTAGCTAGAATGACTTCAGAAATTCTTTTGAACAAAAGAGGCAGTGAAAAGTTAATTATTCTAAAATTATTTCTTGCATTATAGTAGCTATAAATATGTAAAAAAAATTAGTTTAAAAAGTATACTCTCTACAATTGATTGCAAGATAACTAATTTTCTCATCTTCTACTAAAACATTTCTTCTTCAGAGGAGTATTGCATTGAGACAACTGAATCTGCCACAGTAAGGATGGAAATTACATGAGTTTCTTTCCTTTTCTTACATGCAGCTTTTAACTGTGTGGTGAGTCAAATGTAGACTTTATTGGTTATGTAAATGTCTCACTAATTTTAGATACAGTCAAGATCTGAAAGTGTTTCCTCTATGATCTTTTCTTCACTATCATGACTCAGTATCACTTGCTAGATCTAATTGTACTAGCCCTGTTACATTTTACCATTATAAATCATTCTTGTCCTCAAACCATACTGGCTTATATTTTAACTTATCTCCACTGAAGATTTCCCCTGATTCATGCCTCAGTGGCCAGCTGAATAGATGCAAAACTCTAATGTAGATGGGCAGCTGTTAAGCTATAATTTTTTTCACCACATACAATTTCAAAGTAGAGTCTGCTGTACGGCTGCAAATCTCAATTTTGCTTGTCTATAGTATTGGCTTGCACTGGTGGACCTTACTGTTCACTAGTGGCTGAAATTTTCAGTTTAGATCACACTGGACTGTCTTAGGGAATTATCTTTCCCTATCAGGAAATGCTCAGTATGGGTTGCCTATTAAACGCTTCAGTGTAAGTTGTTAGTATATCAAGTTTACAGGAATAAAAGAAACGGTTAGCTAATTGGTGTTACACTGAGGTGGTCAACCCCATTTGAAACTAACTCAAAAAAATTCACTCTAGCCAAACCTTTGAGTGTCAAGGTGTCTGTCATGTGTCCCATCTGAGGACATTTTGCAAAAGTGAGGCTCATTATCTGGTGTATGTTAGGTACCTGATTTAGAACTAGACAGTTTTCCTATTGGGGCTTCTTCTATCAGCACTGCGCTGTGACATTTACCATAGGAGACTTTACACATGCATTCCAATAGTCAGAGAATCAACTTTTCTATGAATCCCTGCCTAAGAAGGTCACTCTCTAGCAGGAGGCTTGTCGTCTTGAAATTCCCCTTTCTGCAAAAGTCACTGATAATAGCCAATATACTGCAGCCCGTACTGCACATAGAAGGCTGTCAAGATGGTTGATCTTGTAAGCCCAGTGCCTTAATATGGTAGGACCGTTATGAGAGCTGATGTGAACCTACAAAGTTGGTCACAGGCATTGCATGTGGCAGCTTCTCTAAGTACATTGCATTTGCTTTGACATCCAAACTGGAGAATTTAAAGAGATTGTTTCCTCCCAATTGGATATTGGTCTCCCTAGATTCCCATCCAGCTTCAGCTCACTAGTACAAACTGTGCACATACCATTCTCTTTCTGCTGAACCAAGAAACTATGAAAAACACCTGCCAGTATGCAGTGTTTTTTACCCTCATCTTCCTAATCATAGGCTCTGTAATAGAAATGTCACTGACGCTTCCCTTTATAATCAGTTGCTTATAACTTTGCCAAACTTTAATCGTTTGGGTTGTAATTTTCCACTCAGGGTCTCTGCTACATGTGGATTTTATTTTTCCCTCCCAGCTGTTTCAGAGAACAGTAAGGGAAAATACATTGTTTGGACTATATTTTAAAAAAATGCTGGCAACCTTTTCCTCAAAAAAATCTCTTGCCCTGTGCTTTGGAGCAAGGACTCCAAATTTGGGTGTGTGATGGTCTTTGTGTCAGGGATGTATCTTTTGGAGTCTTTGTGAAAAATCCACCCACATCTGGCCAAGTTATAAGTGAAAAATTGCACTTTGCACATGCTCAAGTAAACTTCTTAGATTTTAGCAGCGAACTTCCCCAAAGGTTTTGTCTGCACTGGGCATGCTCCAGCCCATAGTTGAGCTGGGCTTTTCCTGAAAGTTCAGCTCTCAGGCAGCTGAACTCAGAGTAGGGAGCCTGTCACTCCTGTGCTTTCAAAGATAACCCCTTTGCTGGGCCGAGGCAAGTTGGAGGAAGAAGCTGCCTGATTCAGATGCAGAGGGGATAAGAGCCGACTACATGGGGAGTAGATGGGAACATGGCGTGTTGGTAACAGAGTAGGACAAGGGAGAGAAATAGTGGAGGGACTGAGACTGTGGGATTTGGTGGGCTAGGGGGAGGAATAGGAAGGGGAGGAGGGATTTTGAAAAGGTGACACTAGAATTTGCTGAGCAAAGATACTGGAACAACGAGGCTGTGGAGTTGGAACTGGGACAGCATGGAGAGTGGCTCCTTGCCCCAGCCACAGGAGTAAAGAAGATCCAGGACAGGGACAGGTTGGAGGGGATGGACAGAAGAGTCTGTGCCTACTAGAGAACACTCCCGCCAGAGCATGGAATAGAACCCAAGAATCTTGGAATCTCATCATTTCTCTGCTGTAAGCAAATATCTGTGTAACCCACTTGCAAAGTATCCCATCCACTCCCTGTGCGGGTCCACATAGAGGATGACAAACTACTATTGCTGTCAGTTACTCCATTAGCTCAAGTGGTGGAGGGTCTTTGCATTGAAGCTAAAGTTTCCAACTCTGCTGATGGCCTGACTGGGTATCCATATGATGTCACCTTATAGAATTTCTATTTTTTAAAAAACCTAGTGTTCCATGTGTGATTTCCTATGTTAAAAGAACATAATTAAAGTTAGTCAGGCACTGATTTAGTTGGGGATTGGTCCTGCTTTAATCAGGGGGTTGGACTAGATGACCTCCTGAGGTCCCTTCCAACCCTGATATTCTATGATTCAAAAATTGGGAAATGCCAGAGTTTAATTGTGCCTACACCTATTTGTTGCAGAAGTTGAGAGGTGTGTAATATTTGTAGTACTAGAACAGACAGGGCTAGGCTTGCCCATAACTAAAGCGCTTCCCCCACCCCCAAATTATAGGGGAGGAACCATTAAGTCCAGGTTACAATTGACTGCTGGGGACAACAAAGGAAAAAAGAGAAACGGGTGAGATTAAAGATTGAAAATCAGGGCAAACAGGGCAGAGAATCCCAGAGAGCACCCCCTGCTTCTCAGAGGTATCCAAGGAACTGGTGGACACTGCCCAGAGGAACTCCATCTGGAGATGTGAGCAGAGAAGGGACAATAAAAAGGCCCCACAATTGCAGAGCACACCCTCCTCCCCCACATCCAGCTTCCTCCTCTTGGAGTGATAGATGGCCATCTTGGCCAGTGTCAGGAGGATGTTGACAAGGAGGTCCCATGACTTTGTGAAGCCATGGATAAAGTATACAAAAATCAAGAGGTGTGGGGGAAAGGGGCAGCCAGAACCTCAGGAAGGGGTTCTGGATGAGCCACAAGAGGGACTGCAACCTGATGCACTCTACATAGATCTCAAGGGTCTCCCTGTTGCTGCAAAAGGAACATGTATCAGAAGAGTTTGTGAACCATGCTAGGACATGCCTGTGCTCACAGCTCTATGTAGGAGCTGCCAATTAACATCTCCGGTGGGCCATGGAATTACATTGGAGTACAGACAGGCCCACCAGGGTTCCTCACCCTCTGCAGGTGGCAACAGGCTCCTCCAACTTGGTGTTGGATGGGATGCAAGGGTGAGGAACTGAATGGTATGAAGCATGAGCGCTTACAGATATTTTCTGAGCACAGCTTGGAGGCAGACCAGCTGGATGTCATTCAGCTGACAGGTGGCATGTTGGGGGCAGCTGGGGAGGCTCGTACAGCAGGAGCCTTGTGATGAGTTCTGGAGGGCCAGAGACGAGGGGTGGACGCAAAGCACACTCATGTGGGACCCACTCAAGGAAAATCATAATCAGGAGCCAAGGCTGCCCTCACCTCCCAGAGCACACAACAGTGGAGATGCAGGGTGGGCAGCCCCATGTATTGGCTGAGCACAACAAGGTCCACCCAGTGTCTCAGATCAATTCTGGTGGCACCAGCCAGGACTATCCTCTGGAACACAAAGGGTGACACCACCACTTTAACACAGAGATGAGAGCTCTGTGTAGTAGGAGTTCTGCAGCACACTATGGAACTTTTAGTGCATGGTTACTGGTTATTGTGTGGCAGGCTAGTGTGCTGTAGATTTACACCCCAGCTTACTGTGCACTGTCAGTGTAGACATGCCCTCGCTCCCTGCATGATTCATGTCTTGGGTGTGGAACACAGCATAGCAGTTACCAGACTTAGAGGTATAGGGAAGACTGCATTAACTTGATTAGCTGTTTGCTAATTTGAGGAGTCCCCAGTGAAAATGCTGATCAAAACCCACACACAACAATTGAATGATTTGCTGGTCTTTTGGTCCTGTCCCACACTCCAGCTTACATCCTATGTTGCCATTTATTCATTCTTTATTATGTAGTTATCAAATAAAAAATTGTAAGATCTTTGTTTTGCATAAATGAGTTAAATGTATTGTAAAACAATATGCCAAAGAGAAGCTCAAACATGAGCATTGCCTTTATGTTGTAAAAAGTTGTACACTGTGTGGCAGGTGTTCTTCATACAGTAATGTTCTACAAATAGAACTGCATGACAAATAGAATGGGCAAGTTAAACTGAAATGATACTATTTATTTGTTATGTATAATATGATTGTAACAATGTTTTTAAGAGTGCAAAATGACTTCCATACATGTGTTCAGGGCTTAGCACACTCTGTTGTATATAATTTCATGGGAACCAAGTGTTTCCTCTTTTTATACTCCCTTATAATGGCTGCACTATATATTTGAGTTTTTACAATACTTTCCTCACTGTCAAATGGTTTGGGGTTCAAAAATAAAATCACAAAACCTCTGATAAATGTGTTATTGTTTCTGTTCTTTAAATAAAAAAAAATCTTAGTACTCTGTATTTCAGATTTTTACTAGGCAAGAATATTTTCATACTGCATACCTGATATTTATAGTACATAACCCCGAAAATGTTTAAACTTCTCCCTTGATCTGCTCTACATGCTGAGTATCCTTCAAAACAAGGAAATGATGAAGTCTCTTCTCTAACAGCAGTAACCAGATGGAGACTTGAAGTGTCTTGATTCCTTCCTCTCATGTTCTTTGATGTCACCACCTTTCTCTTCTAGCTGCATAGGAATCACAACAGATCATTGATGGCAATATCTGAAATGGTGAGCAGTTGCCAGCTGCTACTTTCCCACAGTTTAACTGGAGGTAAAACAATGGTCCTTTGCAGAAAGGTTTGAAATCTATCAGCATACTTAAGGCCAAATCCCTCCTCTCCAAGTTGCAGTGGGGTTCTTTATGTGTATCTAAAGGAAACATTTGGCCTACAAGTAGAAACAAGAATGAACTGTGGGAAAAAAACATTAGGGCATAAGTGCCATTGTTACCACTATTTTGGAGGGAGGGGGAAAGATTTCTCTGTCTACCAGTTTATTTCAGTGGGATGTTTATTGAGTAATTATACAAAATATCAACAGTTATTAGGTAATTTTTGAATTCTTCTGATAGCTTTATATTAGTAAAGATCATGAGAAATGTTTACAATATTGATTCCATCTCTTAATGTACACATTGGAGAATTATTCTGTAAACTCTGAAAAGGGTGAAATTGGTAGTACTATAGAACCTCAGAGTTACAAACACTTCGAGAATAGAGGTTGTTCGTAACTCTGAAAGTTCGTAACTCTGAACAAAATATTATTGTTCTTTCAAAAGTTTACAGCTGACCATTGACTTAATACAGCTTTGAAACTACTATGCAGAAGAAAAATTTTGCTTTTAACCATCTTAATTTAAATGAAACAAGCACAGAAACAGTTTTCTTACCTTGTCAAAAAAAATTAAAACTTTCCCTTTATTTTTTTAGTAGTTTACATTTAACACAGTAATTTTTTTTGGTCTTTGCTGCCTGATTGTGTACTTCTGGTTCCAAATGAGGTGTGCGGTTGACTGGTCAGTTCGTAACCCTGGTGTTCATAACTCTGAGGTTCTACTGTATTGGCAGCCCTGCTGACAGCTTAAATGGAATGTGTATATAGTTTCATTAAATGTGAAATTTCTTCCTCACTTAAATTCTTCTGGAAGATAAGGAACAATATTCTATCCTTAATCTTTTATTCTTCTAAAGGGTTTCTAGCCATTGGTCACATATAAAGAACACTTCAGAGCCTCTTAAAAGTTCATAGATTCATAGATATTAAGATCAGAAGGGATCATTATGATCATCTAGTCTGACCTCCTGCACAATGCAGGCCACAGAATCTCACCCACCCACTCCTGCGAAAAACCTCTCACCTATGTCTGAGCTATTGAAGTACTCAAATCGTGGTTTAAAGACTTCAAGGAGCAGAGAATCCTCCAGCAAGTGACCGGTGGCCCATGCTACAGAGGAAGACAAAAAACCTCCAGGGCCTCTTCCAATCTGCCCTGGAGGAAAATTCCTTCCCGACCCCAAATATGGTGATCAGCTAAACCCTGAGCATATGGACAAGATTCACCAGCCTGATATCCAGGAAAGAATTCTCTGTAATAACTCAAGATTCCACCCCGTCTAACTTCCCATCATAGGCCATTGGGCCTATTTACCATGAATATTTAAAGATCAATTGCCAAAATCGTGTTATCCTATCATACCAAGTTCTTGGTTTTGAGGGGAGGGGCTGAGCTTGTTTTGGTGGTGGCATTTCAGCAGGGATGGGAATCTTTCATCATTTCTTTTTTCCATATTTCTAACTTCCTATTGTAATAAACAGGAAGTTTCTGGACTTCTAAAAAAAAGTTTCAGAAACTTTCAGTAACATAAAAAACAAGATGAATTTTCATACAGTACAATAACAAAGTGAGGATTGTGATTACATCTTCCAGCTACTGTACAACTGTCTCCAGAAGAATAACACCATTAAAGGTATGTGAAATCAAACATATGATTAGGTTAGTCATACTGGGGTAAACTTCAAGCATTATTGGGCCTGCTTAAATTGAACAATATCAGCTTAAGTAACACTCAGAATCCTTTTATTTAGACATACAAGGTGGGTGAGGTAATTTATATTATTGGATCAAGGTCTGTTAGTGAAAGAGACAACATTTTGAGCTTACACAAAGCTCTGCTCCAGGTTTGGGAAAGGGTACCTCAAGAGTGTCACAGCTAAATTCAAGGTTGGACAGATTGTTGAGCATGAGGAATTAACACATGTTACAAGAAACCATTCAAGGGGAAGTAAGCAGTTAACACCTGCAGTCAAAGGACGGTAAGTGGGTTACACTACATCAGTTTATCAAGACTACTCCTACCCCAAGTTGAATTATGTGTACTCTCCAAGGGACTGAATTTCAACCCCACCACAGAACCTATTAGTATGATAACTGTGGCAAACTAACAGGTTTCAGAGTAACAGCCGTGTTAGTCTGTATTCGCAAAAAGAAAAGGAGTACTTGTGGCACCTTAGAGACTAACCAATTTATTTGAGCATAAGCTTTCGTGAGCTACAGCTCACTTCATCGGATGCATACTGTGGAAACTGCAGAAGACATTATATACACAGAGACCATGAAAAAGAGTGGGGTGGGAGGAGGTATTGTTTCATGGTCTCTGTGTATATAATGTCTTCTGCAGTTTCCACAGTATGCATCCGATGAAGTGAGCTGTAGCTCACGAAAGCTTATGCTCAAATAAATTGGTTAGTCTCTAAGGTGCCACAAGTCCTCCTTTTCTTGTGGCAAACTAGAATTCTTTCTTTGATGTCACCTCAAAGAATTCTTTCACAACAAAGATGACATCACCACATCATCCATATTCCCCCAACTGTCACAGAAAAAATAATCTGGACCCCCGCACAGCAGATGAAACTACACATTTGAACATTACACAATCAACTGTGAAATCCTTAACAAACATCACCTCACAAACACCACACTCTCTTCATCACCATCAGCTCCCAACTAAAACCTCTCCAGTGCATCATCAAGGATCAACAACCTATCCTGAAGGATGACCCATCACTCTCACAGATCTTGGGAGACAGGCCAGTCCTTGCTTACAGCCCCCCAACCTGAAGCAAATACTCACCAGCAACCACACACCAAAAACACTAACTCAGGAACGTATCCTTGCAACAAAGCCGGTTGCCAACTGTGTCCACATATCTATTCAGGGGACACCATCATAGGGCCTAATCCCATCAGCCACACTATCAGAGGCTCTTTCACCTGCACATCTACCAATGTGATATATGCCATCATGTGCCAGCAATGCCCCTCTGCCATGTACATTGGCCAAACCGGCAGTCTCTATGTAAAGGAATAAATGGACACAAATCAGACGTCAGGAATCATAACATTCAAAAACCAGTTGGAGAACACTTCAGTCTCTCTGGTCACTCGATTACAGACTTAAAAGTGGCAATTCTTCAACAAAAAAACTTCAAAAAGAGACTCCAATGAGAGACTGCTGAATTGGAATTAATTTGCAAACTGGATACCATTACATTAGGCTTGAATAAAGACTGGGAGTGGATGGATCATTACACAAAGTAAAACTATTTCCCCATGTTTGTTCCCCACCCCCAACCCCCCACTGTTCCTCAGACATTCTTGTCAACTGCTGGAAATGGCCCACCTTGATTATCACTACAAAAGTTTTTTTTTCTCTCCTGCTGGTAATAGCTCATCTTACCTGATCACTCTCATTACAGTGTGTATGGTAACACCCATTATTTCATGTTCTCTGTGTATATAAAATCTCCCCACTGTATTCTCCACTGAATGCATCCAATGAAGTGAGCTGTAGCTCATGAAAGCTTATGCTCAAATAAATTGGTTAGTCTCTAAGGTGCCACAAGTACTCCTTTTTTTTTTTTTTGCGGATACAGACTAACACAGCTGCTACTCTCAAATCTCTCCATGATGACAACCAACAACTCTCCAATGCCACTCATAATAAAGTATTCAAATAAGACCCCACACTACAATTCACCCAAGAATTTAAGGATATCATCAAACCTTTCACAAAACAACTCTAAGAGAAACTCTACAACTTCATCCCCTTCTACAGACCCATGCCAGTGACCTGCATGCTGCCCAAGATATACAGACAAGGGAAACCAGGCAGACTCATCATATCTGGTCATGGCATTCTTATTGAAGGAATATCAGGACTCATAGAAGCCATCTTCAAACCACTCATCGCATAAAGAGCCAGTTTCCTCCAAGACAAACTGACTTCCTCCAGCAACTCTGCAACATTAACAACCTCCCTCAAAACACCATCCTTGCTACCATGGATGTCACCTCCCTCTACATCAACATCTCTCACTATGACTGCATCACTAGCTGCTTCTAATATCTATAAGACAATGGGCAACACTCAGAAATCCACCCCAAATACATTGCCAAACTCAGCCATTTCATCCTCACCCATAAAAAATTTACATTCAACAGCAAATACTTTGTAGAAACCATGGGAACAGCTATGGGTACTAGGACAGCTCCCCAACATGTCAACCTCTTCACAGGCCACCTCAAGGAAGTATTTCTGGAAAAATGCACCACAAAACCAGTGATTTACCTGAAATACATCAATGATATTTTCATTCTTTGGACAGATGGTCTGAACTCCCTCATAGACTTCCACCACAATGTGAGCCACCACCTATTGTCTGGGTGCACATTCTGGGGTGCAATCCAGCATAGATGCCAACTCCGTGGGTGCTCTGGGGCTGAAGCACCTATAGGGAAAAAATGGTGGGTGCTGAGCACCCACCAGCAGCCCCCCCTACCTGAACCTGCTCCTCCCCCCAGCACCTCCTGCCTGCCGGCGGGCCCTGTGAA